ATGCATGTGATCGTAATCGTTGTCAAAAGTTGTCGGCATATTAAGCAACATATTCGAATTCGGCCTGGATATATCGAGTACGCCTCAAATTTCGGGAAATCACGTTTTTGGCCTGTATTTGAAGCCCCATAAATCCTAAAGACCCGCTTTGTTCTCTTCAACTTTTATATATAATACTTTTCACTATTGGTACTATTCAAAATTACTGTTAAAAGTTGTCGGCACTTTGCGGATCATAATCGAATTCGGCATCGAATCGTTGAGTTCGCACGAAATACAGCAAAATCTTATTTTTTTTCAATTTTTGAAGGGCCATATTTTGTTAAGTTTTGTTCCGCTGTTGATCATACTTTGGCGTTAGACACTTGACTTATACGTGTGATCGAAATCGTTGTCAAAACTTGTCGGCATATAAAGCAACATATTCGAATTCGGCCTCGATATATCGAGTTCGCCTCAAATTTCGGAAAATCTCGTTTTTGGCCTGTATTTGGAGCCCCATAAATCCTAAAGTCCCGCTTTGTTCCCTTCAACTTTTGTATGTAATATTTTTCACTATTATTACTATTCAAAATTACTGTTAAAAGTTGTCGGCACTTTGCGGATCATATTCGAATTCGGCATCGAATCATTGAGTTCGCACGAAATAAAGCAAAATTTGATTTTTCGTCAATTTTTGAAGGGCCATATTTTGTTAAGTTTTGTTCCGCTGTTGATCATACTTTGGTGTTAGACACTTGACTTATAGATGTGATCGAAATCGTTGTCAAAAGTTGTCGGCATTTAAAGCAACATATTCGAATTCGGCCTCGATATATCGAGTACGCATCAAATTTCAGAAATTCTCGTTTTTGGCCTGTATTTGGAGCTCCATAAATCATAAAGTCCCGCTTTGTTCCCTTTAACTTTTATATATAATACTTTTCACTATTGGTACTATTCAAAATTACTGTAAAAAGTTGTCGGCACTTTGCGGATCATATTCGAATTCGGCATCGAATCATTGAGTTCGCACGAAAATCAGCAAAATCTAATTTTTCGTCTATTTTTGAAGGGCGATATTTTGTTAAGTTTTGTTCCGCTGTTGATCATACTTTGGTGATAGACACTTGATTTATACATGTGATCGAAATTGTTGTCAAAAGTTGTCGGCATATTGAGCAACCTATTCGAATTCGGCCTCGATGTATCGAGTACGCCTTAAATTTCGGAAAATCTCGTTTTTGGCCTGTATTTGGAGCCCCATAAATCATAAAGTCCCGCTTTGTTCCCTTCAACTTCTGTATGTAATACTTTTCACTATTATTACTATTCAAAATTACTGTTAAAAGTTGTCGGCACTTTGCGGAGCATATTCGAATTCGGCATCGAATCATTGAGTTCGCACGAAATACAGCAAAATTGGATTTTTTGTCAATTTTTGAAGGGCCATATTTTGTTAAGTTTGGTTTCGCTGTTGATCATACTTTGGTGTTAGACACTCGACTTATAGATGTGATCGAAATCGTTGTCAAAAGTTGTCGGCATTTAAAGCAACATATTCGAATTCGGCCTCGATATATCGAGTACGCATAAAATTTCAGAAATTCTCGTTTTTGGCCTGTATTTGGAGCCCCATAAATCATAAAGTCCCGCTTTGTTCCCTTTAACTTTTATATATAATACTTTTCACTATTGATACTATTCAAAATTATTGTAAAAAGTTGTCGGCACTTTGCGGATCATATTCGAATTCGGCATCGAATCATTGAGTTCGCACGAAAATCAGCAAAATCTAATTTTTCGTCTATTTTTGAAGAGCGATATTTTGTTAAGTTTTGTTCCGCTGTTGATCATACTTTGGTGTTAGACACTTGATTTATACATGTGATCGAAATTGTTGTCAAAAGTTGTCGGCATATTGAGCAACCTATTCGAATTCGGCCTCGATGTATCGAGTACGCCTTAAATTACCGAAAATCTCGTTTTTGGCCTGTTTTTGGAGCCCCATAAATCATAAAGTCCCGCTTTGTTCCCTTCAACTTTTGTATGTAATACTTTTCACTATTATTACTATTCAAAATTACTGTTAAAAGTTGTCGGCACTTTGCGGATCATATTTGAATTCGGCATCGAATCATTGAGTTCGCACGAAATACAGCAAAATTTGATTTTTCGTCAATATTTGAAGGGCCATATTTTGTTAAGTTTGGTTCCGCTGTTGATCATACTTTGGTGTTAGACACTTGACTTATAGATGTGATCGAAATCGTTGTCAAAAGTTGTCGGCATTTAAAGCAACATATTCGAATTCGGCCTCGATATATCGAGTAGGCATAAAATTTCAGAAAATCTCGTTTTTGGCCTGTATTTGGAGCCCCATAAATCATAAAGTCCCGCTTTGTTCCCTTTAACTTTTATATATAATACTTTTCACTATTGGTACTATTCAAAATTACTGTAAAAAGTTGTCGGCATTTTGCGGATCATATTCGAATTCGGCATCGAATCATTGAGTTCGCACGAAAATCAGCAAAATCTAATTTTTCGTCTATTTTTGAAGGGCGATATTTTGTTAAGTTTTGTTCCGCTGTTGATCATACTTTGGTGTTAGACACTTAATTTATACATGTGATCGAAATTGTTGTCAAAAGTTGTCGGCATATTGAGCAACCTATTCGAATTCGGCCTCGATATATCGAGTACGCCTTAAATTTCGGAAAATCTCGTTTTTGGCCTGTATTTGGAGCCCCATAAATCATAAAGTCCCGCTTTGTTCCCTTCAACTTTTATATATAATACTCTTCACTATTATTACTATTCAAAATAACTGTTAAAAGTTGTCGGCACTTTGCGGATCATATTCGAATTCGGCATCGAATCATTGAGATCGCATGAAAATCAGCAAAATCTAATTTTTCGTCAATTTTTGAAGGGCCATATTTTGTTACGTTTTGTTCCGCTGTTGATCATACTTTGGTGTTAGACACTTGTCTTGTACATGTCATTGAAATCGTTGTCAAAAGTTGACGGCAAATAAAGCAACATATTTGAATTCGGCCTCGATATATCGAGTACGCCTCAAATTTCGGAAATTCTTGTTTTTGGCCCGTATTTGGAGCCCCATAAATCATAAAGTCCCGCTTTGTTTCCTTCAACTTTTATATATAATACTTATCACTATTAGTACTATTCAAAATTACTGTTAAAAATTGTCGGCACTTTGCGGATCATATTCGAATTCGGCATCGATATGTCGAGTACGGTTCAAATTTCAAAAAATCTTGTTTTTGGCTTGTATTTGAAGCCCCAATAATCATAAAGTCCCGCTTTGTTCCATTCAACTTTTATATATAATACTTATCACTATTGGTACTATTCAAAATTACTGTTAAAAATTGTCGGCACTTTGCGGATCATATTCGCATTTGGTCTCGAACCGTAGAATTTGCATGTAAAATTGAAAAAAATATTTTCCGATATTTTTGTGTTCCCATCAAATCATCTATTTTTATTTTATATTTTTTTTCATTCTGCAATTATATTCTAATACGTTTTAGTTTTTCTGTTTTATGTGATATACAGTTATGTATGTTGTAATTACCACTACCAGCTAAATGTGCTTAAACTTATATTTTAGTCTGAGTTGTTCCCTTCGGAACATATTATTTCAAATAGGATATATTTATCCCTTATAAATATTGTAATAAGAGATTATTTTCCGCATGGGAACTGGTTGAAAACTGCAGAATAATTTTCCGCTGAAATTCCGCTGGATTCACAGTGGTGTCTGCTAAGTTGGGGCTCAGCATCAAGGTCTTCCTTACAGCCAGTCCATGTTTTGCAAAATAAAGTTTTACGATGTATGGCATTTGCAGAGAAAGTTCGTGTAACTAATTTGCAGCTCTACTACCAGTATGAATTCCTACAGCTGTCTGATATGCATACGCTAGAAATAGCAAAGTTCATGCATCGGTATGAAAATGACCTTGTCCCTCCTGTTTTTAAACATTATTTCACCCCATGAAAAAAAGTGCACAATTACTGCACCGGGTCTCAAAGAAACAAGGTTTTCTTTACTCCACAAGTGTCCACTGAGGTGGACAAAACATCTTTGAAGTATATGGGTGTACAGGTCTGGGGCAATGTTCCACCTGAAACTAAAAAAGTTCTGTGCATGTTTTCAGTAAGAAACTGAAAAAATATTTCCTACTGAAATATTCTAACTTGTCCATATATCTGTAGTTTAATTAATATGTCTTTAGAACTGTGTTGAAAACTGCATTATATAAATTACTACATTACTATAAATTTAACTGTTTCATATAAACACTGTACACTGAGGGTCATAGCCCTTTTTTCCAACTCATGTATGTATATAGGTAATAAAATTGCTGTCCTCTTCTCTTTCATTGGCATCAATTTGACTTTAAAAGCCATTGTTATTGATATTTCTATCTTTTGAATTATTGCTAAACATGTGATAATTTGATTGGCTCATTGTTATTTTCATTTCTCCATGTGATTGAGTATAAAATCTTGCTCCCTTGATCCATATAGTACTGCCTAATATACTGTAATTACCTCTTTTATGTCATTAAAAGTTATTGTGGTATTACTGATGAACTGCAGTTATTAGTTATTGCATATTTAATTGTGGATCATATATTACTGTATTAATATTCTAGTTCCAAGTATGCATAAATACTTATAAATGATAGTAGCCCATTTGTTAATTAATTTAATAACCTTTATATATTGTGAAAAAGTGATTAACTGCAATAGTAATTGCATATTTAATTGTTCATATTCAACTGTGGATCATATATTAACTACTATTCTATTTCTCAAGTATGTATTAATACTTAAGAATGTTGGTAGCCACTTTTAATTCAATAACCTTTTTATATCGTGAACTAATTAAGGTGTCAAACGAGAGTATCGGTCGGAGACCAAAGACTTATCGATCAAAACTGCGGTTTCGATTCATGACTCTATAGTGTGTGTGTACCATGTGTCCAAACACCAATTAATTAATAGCTCCCTAATTATACGACATAACTCGACCAAAATCAATAGCCATCTGGTCCGCGATATGATGAACGCACATGCAAAATTAGATTGGGTGGAGATTAAACCCCGCTTTCTTGAGATATCGCTTGCATCTAACAGACAGACAAAGATCGATAAACAAGATCGACAAGTAATGATAGTTTTACATCATGCACTCAGTCTATTGCTGAATCTGTGATAATATTATTTTTCGTCCTTGGTATTCATTTTTAACCAACACATGACCTCTCTAAATCCTAAATTGCCCTTAGTAACTTCCATAAAACCATTAAATTGCCGACTCGTTTCCTTTTTTCCTCGTATTTATTTTTTATATATTTATATTTAATCTCATTTGTATCCACCTATGACGAACTTATATATAGCACATACACAAGAGTCGGGAGCCTAGATGACTTCAATGTTTAATCGGTCTTGCACACCGAGCCGCACAAAGCAATAATCAATTACTGTGGAATATTTTCGTTGTTGTATTATGTTTATATTAGTGTTGTTTTTGTGGCAATAAATCTCTCTCTCTCTCTGACGCAATATGAGCACACCAATAAGCAAAATCAAAGAAATTTTGGAGTTCCAGAAGTATGTGCACCAAGATGGCGCACGACCTGAACACAGTATGTGTACCAGGTTAGGGTGTGTCATGAAGTATGTGCACCAAGATGGCGCACAACCTGAACACAGTAGGTGTACCAGGTTAGGGTGCGTCATGTTGGGTTATTTAAAGATGTTGAAGATTACTGATATACGTTAAACTTGTGAATATTCCCTACCACTGTGTACCGTTTCCCATCAAATTGTTTAAAATTTCATGGACGCTAATAAATAATGAAAGAAAAATGTTTCCCTCTCTTCTGCGCTCTTTCCCTCTCTTCTTTGCCGTTTCACGCTCTATTCAGTAAGTAGTAAGACCCTTTTCATATATACTATTTTGTCAGGAAACAAACTATTCTAACAGAATTCTATCATGAATATTAAGTTGATTAAAAACCAAACCGAAGAAAGATTGGGGAGATTCAATAAACTAAGAGGTCACCCTGATGATCCAGAAGTATTTTGGGATTACGTGGTTCTGACTGCGGTTGATGAAGCTCAAAAAGAATCGTATAAATTACAGTTGGAGATCAAGCTGCAGCAAAAAGAACTCCCTCTCTCTGCAGAATACATTGTCGTGGCGGACCCTCCTGGGCCGAAAATTGGGAATGGTGGTTCCACTATGGTAGTTCTTGATCATCTGTTTAAAACATTTGAGGATGATATTTGGTCGAAGAAAGTGATAATTATTCATGCTGGAGGGTTTAGCCAAAGATTACCAAATGCTAGTGTGATGGGGAAAGCATTTCTAGGTATGCCTTTTGGTGAACCTATGTACCAGGCCTTGGAACTAAAATTAGCCAGTTATATTGACTTTCCACAAAAAATTCCTCAAGGTGGGTTTTTTGTGTGTTGTGCTGATACTGTAGAGGTCTATAATGATGATAACGCTTCTTGGGTGTTTGCTTCTGATGGATTCACAGCTTTAACTCACATGTCACCGATGTCTATCGGAACCACCCACGGTGTCTTTGTTCTTGACAAACCAATATCTAGACAGCATATTGTTTACGATTGCAGAAAATTTTTGCACAAACCGAGCTTTAAACTCATGGAATCAACTAAAAATTGTGTCATTTTTAAAGATGAAAAAGATAGCTGGGTTACCACTGATAGTGCTTTTTTCATCAGTCCAAAAGTTGCAAAATTGTTGCTTCATTTTTATGAAACGAATGCTCCACTATCATGTGAAATCGATGCGTATGGTGACTTCCTTCAAGCACTTGGGAAAGAATCTTCATCCGATTATATTCACAATAACAAAAATGTCTGCGAAGAGACTGATTCATTGGTTCAAACCAGGCAAAAGATATACGATTTATTACACATCGTTCCACTCTACGCCATCACGCTATTTCCAAAGCCTAAAAACGAGTCTTCTTCATTGTTGGGTTCAATATTTTATCATTTCGGTACTGTAAAGGAATATAGGGACAATTTTACAGTGGATAAAAATTTTCGATCTATGCTTGGAGTGCAGGCTATAACATCTTCTAAAGGTGTTCCCCATCAGTTCACAATTACGAACGAAGAGAACTTTGGGAGCACAAAAATTAAAATCAGCGACCAGGGTGCTTTATCATGCTCTGTACAGCAGGTCCGATGCAGCACCCCTTGTATCATGGGTTCAGTTTTACTAGCTGATGTATCAATTGGTCAAGGAACCATCATAGAATATAGCTACATCAGAGAGGGGGTCAAAATCGGCGACAATTGTATCATAAGTAACTGTAGCTTGCCAAGAAATATTTCAATACCGAATTGTGTATTCATGGATACCGTTGCAATCAAAGTTGATAATCCAACTTTATATGTTACTATAATTCTCGAAGCTCATGCAGACACAAAAAAATCTGTTTCTAAAGAAAACGCTCTGGATCAACTTTTTTACTTTAATAAACCACTGAAATCACGTTTTTCTGAAAAATGTTTACCAAATTCCACCAAAGCAAGTTTGTGGAATGTAAAAATATTCCCAGCTACAACATCTATGGTGGAATCATGTGAAACCGCTTGTAAAGCGCTCAATGGTTTAACTTCAGCTGATTCCTCGCTTCTATACAAAGATATAAACGAAGATTCAATGTTCTCAATCACCAACATATTGAGTTTGAAAGACCTCAACAGTGTTCTGGAATTCAGAAAATATCTTGCAAATGAAATACACTCAGTGTAATGTCCGAAATACCGTAATTGGGGAAATAAATTAGGTGGGTTATTATCCTGTAGTGAAGACAGTTGTTGCTACAAGCCATATATTCAAAATTGCTCCCTGCAAAATACTACATTCTTCACATCTTGGCACGCATACTTAATTTTTTTACTATATATTTTTTCATGAAATGAATTAAACTTTCCATTATCTATTAAAAGTAGCAAAATAAAAGGTATTGATGTAATCTTGCCTGTTTTGTTGCCAATTACTGTATATTATAATATAGGGTGCTTGAAGCCAAGTCAACAAACGTGAAAGCAATCCTCGTGCACAAAATATTTTTGTATGAATACTGCTTCAGATATAACTAGTAATCAATATTGTATTATGTAGCTCACATGTAATCAAAAACTACGGTAATAGATGAATCCCATAATCACTATAGCTCTATTTTAACATACTTACATGTAATTTTATATTATTATCAATGACAATAAATCATGGCTTTTACTTATTACAAGCACCCATTGATACCTCAATATCTACTATGCTTTGGGTATAAACAAACTCATTCCTTTTCGGCCCCAATTCTGTTAGTCAAAAAGGTCTGAGGGGCCAAGAACCCTCCACCCCAAATTTTTGACATTTATTTTTTTAAATGCAATTTCGCAGCATTTGCAGTGAGACATATATTGTTATGCCTTTTCCGACACTATTTTACTCTATTCTTGAACGGGTTACTGAAAGTTGACTTTTCCATGCTTGCTACCAATAATCCTTTCACCAAATAAACCAACCAAGATGAAAATGCAATTCACTTACAATTGGGTTATCTAGTCTTTCCAGCATATGCCCCACCCAATTTATTATCTTTGATTAGCCAGAGCTTTTTAACACGAGATCCTCAGCCGGACTTCCAGAAGTATGTGCACCAACCATGGCGCACAACCTGAACATAGTATGTGTACCAGGTTAGGATTCAGGTTGTGCGCCATCATGGTGCACACACTTCGTGAGCGCTCTTCAGCCTGCGACTCCAGTTATACCACTAGGTCAGTGGTTCTCAAATGGTGGGTCATGCCCCACAAGCAGGGTGTAGAGAATTTTTTGAGGGGGCGTGAAGCCAATTGAAAATACAGATATTTGTAAGATTTGATCTTGTTCACTTTATTTTGAATATTTACATTTTTTTATTTTGGATATTCACATTTCTTTATTTTGAATATTTACTTTTGATCCATTATTTTGGATTATTAGGGGGGGTGCGAGATTTGACAAATTCTAAAAAGGACATGGCTTGAATAGTTTGCGAACCACTACACTAGGTAATAGTACCACTAGAAAGCATTGCAGCATGTACAATTTTTGAATATGGCGCTCTCGAAGTATGTGCACCAAGACCAGGCGCACAACCTGAACCCTAACCTGGTACACATACTATGTTCAGGTTGTACGCCATCTTGGTGCACATACTTCTGGAGTTCCTTAAATATTACTTAATCCTTTATATATATTCCAAAGGACTCAATACTATAATCCCTATCTTCAAATTTCTATTATAATTATGCAGTTTTATTTATATCTTATTGCCTTTTCAAATGTTCATCATATATACAAAATACAATGTGTAAATACATCAACCACCACTTGTTCAGATATAGTTCAACATGTTTATGGAAAAATGTAGATAATCATTGATGCCCAAAATGAGGCATATTATATTTGTAATTTGTTCTATTTAATACAGTTTTTCTTGATTACAATTCTTATTCAAATAGATATAACTATTCAGGATAAAGCTTATTTGACTTTCTGCTATTTTAAATCGATCTATATGAATTGAATTAACAATGATTTCTACTGATTCAATCCAGAACATTGCAATATTCAAAATTATTTTTTTCATTTTGTATTATTGACGTCAGGGCTTCCCAAACTTTTAAGTTCGCGACCCCTTCCAATATATAAAATGTCATTGTTATGCAAGCACGCATCTTCGCAGGTTTTTCGATCAAAGTCGACATGCTCACCACTTTTCTGATCCTATTTATTCTCTTAAAATCTTACGATTTACATTTTGCACTAGTTTTAATAATTGTTTTGAATTAAAAGTCTAAAAAAGTACAATAGATATAGTACTTTGAGTGAAATTGGTGCACTCTTTGTGACCCCTAAAATCCGCTGGGTTGCGACACCCTAATTCACAAACAAAAAAGCCAACCTACTTGTAATTTTCTCTTCAATATAAAATGAATGTTGCCAGAAATCTTCAAGTTATGATTTTTCTTCAAGCTTTGTAAATGTGCAAATGCAGAAATATAATTTATTACTCTGGTTGAATTGTTCTTATTGGGTTGGTATAGTAGAAGAGACTGCTAGAATCTCCATCACTAGACCAGTGTTTCCCACTCTTTTGAAAGATATTGTTACCCCTGAATCGAATTACCAGAAGTTTAATTATCCCTCTCATAAAAATACAGTAGTGACTGACTAGTGATATCGTTATCAAAACACCCATTGCATCTTCTTATCCGACGTCAAGACGTGAGCTCAGTATACGATCTGTAAGGCACCATATTGATATTTTTTCCCTACAAACTTTGTGACTAGGCTCATTGACTAGATGTGAGCTTTGCTTGTCCAGCTTTTCCACAGGCGAAAGTACGAAATTACAAAAGCAATTGTTAACAGTGAACATGTGGATTACCCCCTAAAGATTGACAAATTACCCACAGTTTGGGAAGCGTCTGCACTGTTCTGGTTCATTAAATTTTTAGTTTTGTAAACATAATACAGTAATTCATGAATATACATAAGACTAGAGCCATGGGGTGATTGATTCACACAGCTAGCTGCAAGTCCCTAAGCCTGTGATGCCCATTTCCAACATGGTAACCTAGTATGGGTCCTGTCCTATTTATCGGATGAGAAGAGGTCTCACCAACCAGCTTTATTTCATCAAATCGACAATACTACTATTCATAGAAAAAAAAATTTATTCATAAAAGTGAGGAAATAAGTTGCAATGATATTAAGCATTTTGTTGTATGAGCAGCATGAACCTTCAAATCAGCGGTCCCCAACCAGAGCGATGAAGGGGGCACAGCGCAGTTGGAGAGGGGCCACAATGCTAGGCTTAAAACTGATTTCATCTTTTCCCTTGTCGAGAAAACTTCCCATTTTTCCTAGTTTCATTGCCTGATAAGGTTATTTCACAGGGTGTTTTCACTTTGTTGAGCACGCTTGTTCGAACAAAATGGGATTTGGAATCTACCAATTAAAATACCACCATAAATACCACTGGAATAATAAACAAGGGGACCATGAGCCTTAAATGGTTGGGGACCACTGCTCCCATTCATACCAAGTGCTGCTGAATGTGCAGCCCTGGTAGTCTCTCGGGCCATAGGAGGTCCGCCCCTCTTTGAGACAGTCTTAGGAAGTTTCAAATTAGTCCAGGTAGTAAATCACAGCTTCAACCAATGACATGGGATCTAAATCCATGAATCTCTAGATATGATTGATCAATCTATTATTCTCTTGACTCAGTCGAAGTTTGAAAACCCAAGGTTTCCTGGAAACGAAGAGTCTGATGGATGCCTCATTTGATTCTAAAAACAAAAAATAAAGTCTGAATCTACATAGTTTATTTTGAGATCTCCATTACACACCGTGCAAATATAAACTGAACAAGTGCAGAGCTAAGAAGACTAGAGTTGTTAAAATTCTACCCAAAGAGGCAATTTTACCTATAACCCAAAAAGCATGTGCTAGGACCACCTTCAGAAGAAATTCAGTTTGTCATAATTTGGACCTTATTTTGAATTCATTGCAATTTCAAGAGATTAAAATAGGATTTTAAACAGTTCCAGATGCAACAGAGCCCATGTTTCCCTGATTCACTCACCTTTATTAACATAGGAGATCCACCACTTCCATGCGTTACATTCGCACCAACTTTAGATTGATCTCCACTAGTCGGTAGAAAGACTATTTTCGCTGAAGTTGGCGTAGATGGGCTCTGTTGCATTGGGGATGAAAACTGTCGCCCAAGTGACATAGGGGAAGCCCCTGTTTGCCCTCCTCCCTGGAAACCACCAGTTGAGGACTGTCCTGATAGAATAGGTCGGCCAGACTAAAAAATGGAGAAAAGTCAAGCAGGGCGAGCCAATACCAACTATTACATAATTGCAAATACAATTTGTTAAAAAACTTACAAATCTGAAATATATTCTAAACTGGGCAGTGTTTATGAAAGGAGATTTTATGACTCAATAATATTTTCATTCTATTTATCGACATGAACATCTTCAAGTTGCATGTAAATCGATATTTACTACCACATAATTTCACATCATAGTTTTTATGGTCATACCATCCTATATACTTCCTTTACTGATCGTGAGCTTTTCTCTACATTGATTATGAGGGATAAGTTTGTGGCACTTGGTGGTCACCCATAACCAGCATTTTATTTCAGGGGGAGGGAGTGTTTCCAAATTGAGGGGGCGTTGGTTATTTTGTTATTAGTAATAAAACTATTTGTAGCTCCTAAAAATGTGTTAAGTATTTTACTGATCATCTTCACGGGCATATTGAGCCACTTTCTGAATATTAAATACAATATTATTTACATTAGGAATAAGATTATGGTGTCACACCTGAAAATTAGGATGTGTGCTTGAAATTTTATTGGGGGGTGTAGAAACACATTGCTAACCGCAGAGATGCATCTTCTTCATCAATGAATAAGTGATCATACCTTACTTTAGACTATTCCTTTGAAAAATCAGTATTCCTTACCATATTAGAAGCAGGTCTGCTTAATCCAGCTCCAGCCAATATCTTAGCTTTATGAGCCTCCTGTTCTCGGAGTTTAATCACATGCTGGCATAGTAGGTTCCCGAGATGTCCGTACTCGGACTCGTAATCTTGTGTGCTATCAGGAGCAGTTCTTAAACTCTTGATGACAGGTCCGCAATGTTTCTGAAGTGGAATAAAAATAAAGATTCAATTTGATGGAAATTATAACTGGTATTTGGATATTCTATTATAAGAACACAGATAACTGGAATTACTATTTTTTGCAGAGAGAACCTGCCGAACACTTTACGGGTAAAATAGTGCAAAAATTAGATAATTGGAATTAAAATTCACATTTGTCTAGTTTTCCCATTTTGCGCCATCAATTATTCAAATATATACATCAAATAAATCACGAAGTACGGTTTTGTACCTAGCTATTACTTAAAGGCATATTGGTTATTATTCCGAATCCGCATAAAAACCTTTGCCAATCCTTAATATATACAAATTTTACTTTTCCCCAAAGAAGTAGGCCAATTACATACAAATTTCAAAAATCAGATTTGAAGATCACTAACTAGAGCAAAGGTCGGGAACCGATGGCTCGCGAGCCATATATGGCTCTTTGGGTGACGGCATATGGCTCCCAGGAAAAAAAAATATTCCAAAACTAAGGTTACTATTGTTTTAAGATTTTAAACTCTTTTATAGCTAAATTTGGAAGAAAATCTGCCAATACGTTTGAGAATGCGCGGCCCGCGTATGTCTATGTTATCTGAGCAAATTACCAGACAGGCATTGTGACAAAACTATAGGATTCTGGAACTAATTTTGTGACATCACAAAGCGATAGAATCGCGAACCAGTGGAATAAAGCTTTTCGTCCGTTGGTAGTGACCGGCTTACAGTATATGTCCTGCCTAAATCGGACTAGCAAAGCTAGTATTTAAAATAATACGAAGATGCCTAAACGGAAGAAGGGTGACGAGTATTGTAGATTTCAAATTGTGCAGGCCCGCAGCGACATCACGCTATATGGCTTGCACGGAAATGCAGTTGAAAATATGTACCTTTTAGGACTCTCTCGACCCCTGAAGTTCACTTTCTGTGTAATTGGCCAACTTTAATTGCATCACTAATTCAGTATATCAAGTACAAATTGTTGAAGAAGAGTCACATAACAAGCTATTCCTCAAAGCCATCAATAATTATTTAAAGCAGCATCTCATTAAAGGCTATTACTCTAATTCATTTTCCCATTTATTCTCTCTGGGGCAGGGGCGTTTCTCTTTGGGGGGGAGGGGGGGAGAATAGGGGCAGCCGCCCCGGTCAGCATGTTTATTGTTTAGTTTGATGATTAAAATAATAATAATCCAAATATTAACTTTTACCTGACCTCTTACATTTTGACCCAATTGATTTATTCCCACGCATGACAACATCTGTAATTTGTTTATCCCCTGAATTTTTTTTGAAGTTTGGCATAGAGGGCGTCATTATCAGAAACTCGCCTCGGGAAGCAGAAAAATGTTAGAAACAACCCTGCTCTGGGGCCCAACTTTTTTGCTTTAAACAAGGGTATTATTAATACTTTCATATACTCGCAGTTTTTTTTTTCTCATATTAAAAACGGTTCCATTACATTTGAACCCATGTACATTTGAACCCACGACAATTGCACCTGCATACCATTGCACCTACGGAAATTTTTTTTTTCACAGATATTTGAACCCATACTAACTCTAACCCATGGATTTTCGCGTCCTCATATAGATTGAATCCGCGGATATACGGGTCCAAATGTATGGGTCAAATTTACGTGGGTTCAAAGGTACGGTCCCCATTAAATACATACCACCAGCAGTCCACGTAGATGCTCAGCAGCAGTTCTATCAATATTATTCAGCAACGGACTATCAAGAACATTTTTAATTCTGTCGCCTTCCACACCCAGCCGAGAAAGTACCAGACTTTGTATGACCTAAAAAGATTGAGTAATGAATTGATTAAATAACACAAGTTATTCGGCGACGTGATGCATTGTGCTAAGCGTTGGGAATGCGCTCGCCACCACATCTCTGATTACCCTGCGTGGGTTCGCAAGTTCAAATCCCATGCGAGTTGATAATGTGCGAGAGGATTGCAGGACTCCTCGTCGCCGTAGGGTGGTTAAAGTAACTACTGGGCGATTATGGCTTCCACCACCATCCAGTCCATGCATCTGAAAACAAATGGCAGACTATCTAATCCCATACCCAGCCCATACCAGTTCAGTACCCACCCAACTCAAGAAAGGATATGTTCACCCATCTTTCACAGCTGGTTGGTCATGATCAGTCAGTCACCTGTAACTGATGACTTCACTGATTATACTCGGCCATTTTAGAAAACACTTGTCAGGAATACAATTACGGTAACACCTGTTACTGCTGATAATGATATGTAAAATTTAAAAAAAATAATATATTTTTGGTAGCGCTGCCATTTTCTTTTTTACACATATGCTGATTCCTATTCTATTTCATACAAGGTTTCAAACTAAATAAAATTTCAGAATGCACACGAAGTGGTGACTTTGTAGTATTGAACATCCTTACTCTGAACTTACCACGGATCCTAATTCAGCTAGTCCTGCAACACTTCCATATCTTGCTGCAAGAGAGGACTTGTCATCGTGGAGGCACTGTTGTTGAACAAAAGTTGAACGAAAAAAATCCAAAATGTTTTGATAAGGAATAATGTATTGAAACAGGGCAAATCAACAGCATTTCATTTAAATTATGGTCATATTATTGAAGTTTGGGAAGAGCGATTTGGTTTATACCATTATGTATCATTTTACCAGCTCCCATTTTAACTGTGAACCCAGAAGAGGGAAGCAAAGGGTGTTGAAACTTATACATTCCAGCTGCGGAAATTTGAAAAGATTTTTTTGGAAATGTCATTTTTAATCTGAATACTTACTTTACAAAATGTAGCTGTTATCCTCGGTTGGATCAAGTTAGTAGAAGTGCTAAAGCTCCTACATATCTGAGCCATCAGTCTGGCAGCATAGTCTCTCAATGCCCAATGGTTATCTACATCTGGTCTTGTGCATAACTGACGACTGACTATGCATGTCATGACAGCTGGAATCATTTCATGAAGCTGTAAAAGGAAAAAAGAAAAATCATATAAAATGTACGGTAATTTGAGAATTCAGGACCGTCAGAAAATCGAATACCTCAAAACAGGCTCTCCAAAAGTACATGTATCAATATGGAGGTGACTAATTTTGTTCGCCTACTTTACATCAAGTTGTGTAAAGGGACTGACACCTATGGGGGTATATTCACTTGGCTAACACAGACACTCCCCGAATTTGTAATAGAACTAAAATAAGGAAAATCGGAATAAAATTATGGCCGTAACCTGGTACACATACTATGGAAGTACGCTAAAACACCCGAAATTGTTTCTCTTTGATACAGCGAACTCTTGATATTAGATTACTTCCCTTCGAAAAATTAACACCATATAAAACGATTCTGACTTAACAATTATTCAAAAATGAAGATAGAATTTGGAAAGAGAAATATTCATGCAATCTAAGAAATAAGAATCTTAAAAAATTTTAAAAATTTTCAAGACCTAATATTTGAATGCTTCCAGAATTAGTCATAACCAATTTAGTGAAGTCAACTTAATCTAACTCACATATTTCTCCAAGTTAAGAGTGGAATTGTCCATCAAAGCTTTGACCATTCTCATAAGATAAATAAGTAGAGCTAGATTGTTCTGAACGACATTGACACGAACTCCTTCTGAAACAAATGTACTGAATCGAGGAAGCATCTGTGATAATCCAGGATCTGTTGCAAGAGACTGAAGTGCTTCCTGATAAAAATAATGCAACTACGATGAGATTACTGATTTGGTTGACACCTGGGCTGTGGTGTCATGATCATGTTTTCACTGCAGTTGGCCAAATTTTTGAATTGCAGTTGCCGAGAATTTTTCAATCTGATTTTTAAACTTTCATTGACGATGATAAAAGTTAGAACTTTCTTCAGGAACTAATAAAATTAGCAGTCTATTAAAGTAGGCTTACATACACCAATGTTTTTTGTTATCAAAATAAAATCCTTCCGAGTTTGGAGCTGGAGTCGGGAGCCAATTGTAGATTTTCCCCTGGTTGCCACAATGTAGGTTAAAAATTTCCAGTTTTAGATACATACATACATTAAGCTATCTTTCCGACCTTTCTCTCCCAGAATTGAATACAGAAATCTTATCCTAACTTACAGCACGTCTAGCTTCACTTGATCCCACAGCTGCTTCAGTAATTTCTTTGTAATAAAGTTGTTGCTCAACGGAGAGTTCGTGAGTAAATCTAGGCTTCAGGTCAACCTTTGTTGTTTCAGTATTTCCTCGTTTCTGTGAGTTTTAAAAAAAATTCGGTTTGATAGAGATATAAAATCAGAAGTGAGATTCTTGGCTAAAACCTAAGGTTATCTAGCGAAGACATCTAGGACTGGGATATTAGGTAATGTATGACATACTAGTGCAGTGGTTCTCAAACTTATTAAACCGCGCCCCTCTTCAAAATTTGTAGAGTCTCGTGCCCCATCACAGAAATACCTAGCTAACAATAAGTTACAAATAACAGATAGTAGGACAAAAGTATATTTTATTCAAAAAATCTGTTAAAAATAAGTGGACAAAACGAAAATATGACGAGCGAGATCAAATCTAAAAAATATTTTTATTTTAACTAGCTTCACGCCCCTCAAAAAAATGTCTACGCCCCAACCAACGTTTTAAAACCACTGTATTAGTGTAAAAGTTTTATCAATAGAAACCATAAGTGAATCTAACCACTTTATTTTGTAAGAGTTTCTCTTCAACAACAGTAAAATATTATATTAAAAAAGATCTTATATTTTTTTTACCATCACAGAAATTTTCACGACCCTTATGAATCAACCCTGTAAAATGTTTAGTCTTGGACTATTTTAATCAAGCGGGGTGGGGTGGGGAATTTCCACTATTTAAATAAATATAAAAATAGAATACGATTCGGTATTCTGCATTTGATTTAAGTCTTTTGAAATAGTATAATATTCTACATTGCCCATATGCTACCACCGCAAAAGTTTTGATGTTTCATGTTTCAAGTAACTCTGAAAAAAGTATAGGCCTACCTTGTCCTTAGTACTAGTTTCATGTGTTGCATTCTTCAGGGGATTATTAGCAGGGACGATGGAACTTTTCAAAGGGGCAGAACCTGGTAGAGGTTTAGATTCTGTTTTATTTAAGACATCTAGTAAAGTGGTTTGCTCTGGAGCAGGGTTCTCTGGTATGCTTGGTTGGACTCCATCGATTGCTAGCCAGTGAGCTGTAAATACAGGGAATGTTGATGTGTGAAAATAATCAAATCAAAAATATTTCACTCTACAATAAATTGTAGCTCTTCATGTATCAAAGGGTGATTGGTGTTTGTCCAGGGCCCTGTGTGCAGTGAAGATAAAAAAAAATGAAACTCAAAAATATCTCTATATTACCATGAAATATCATTCCCATCACTATCAGAGTATGCGAATATCTCACCAAAACCATTACCATGAAGTGCAGGACTGTGCTATCAAGAGTGCTGGCATTTGTGAAAATTGATAGAAAGTAATAACCAAACTAAAATATTCCAGTTTTACAAAAAATCACAATTTCCAAGTAATTTAAAAGTGACTGGTAGTATAACCAAACTAAAATATTACAGTTTTACAAAAAATCACAACTTCCAAGTAATTTAAAAGTGACTGGTAGTTAATCAAGAAGATTTCTAGTCCAAATAACAACAATTTAGTAAAACGTTTTCTAGTGTCCATGCAGGAAGACATTTACCTTTCACGGCGATATCATATGGAACTCGTGGCAGAGGGTTATTAATCAGTTCAGTGAGATCAATTTCTTTGTCCTCGACAAAATGTAGCTCTCTACCGCCCCCACTGGCAAATCTGAATGGTATATAATCTTCTGCGACAAACCCATATAATGGTTCAATGTTTTTTGACTGAAAATAAAAAATATGTGAGAGTCTTTGTTCCAATTGAAGTATGAACGCAGTTATTCTGGCATATAAACAATCTGTCGGAGTAGAACAAAAGTAGCATCTGACACATTTTTCAGAAATAGATTTTTTTAAGTTCTGTCATTATGAACCAACCATGGGCCATTTCCGGGACTCTGTAAATTTTAGTTATGTTATGTTAATTTTTGGTTTGACTGTTAGAACTAAACTATTGCGAAACACCTACAAACCCTTGCATTTATTTTTATTTATTAAGGTTTGAGCTAATAAAAAGGGAGGATACAAAGTTTTGTGTTACACTTTTCATAATACCACCTAAAATAAGTTTTCAATGTTATTTCATCCTCCCACAGATAATAATTGGGAACGCGCTTGAAGCCTTAACTTTTTATATACAAATGTAAGTGAGCACATAAGTCGAACCTATCTTCCTGATTACTTGGAAATTATTTTGGACATGGATTTTTTTGAACAACTTGAAAGTATGTATTTCTAACTCAAGATACTAACGACTTAAGCATACCCTCAAAGCTGAATCAACATCTCTACACGTCAGAATCTTTGATTTTCTGTGTGTTGAAAATTTCAATGATTCCTATGAACGAAGTAAAAGTAAATATTAGTGAACATTGCTTTGCACAGTATCTTAAAATTCAGTAGGGCACAGTTCTACAATCCCAAGATTTCCTAACATTTGGTTCAAACACTCTATATGTCTCTGAAACGAAGGGGTATGGCACAGGAGTGTATGTATCAGATTGTGCCATGCTTGTCTCGATAATAATCAAACACCACCAAAAATATGTTTTTTTTGCTAAAAACTCTCGAATGCTACAGTAAAGTTTTTATTCCTTTTGTGAACCAGATTATTTTTTTTCCGGGGAATCCGATTGTGACATTTTCAGATTAAGCCACCTTTTAGTTTATTTCACAAAGTTGGTTTGCCGATTTATGCCGATATGGAGGCAAAAACTATCTCGTTAAGGAATGGTTTGCACTCACTGATATAATTGATATGTGGGGGCTATTCTTGGAATCTGAGAACAGTGTCATACTGAGATTGGGCATCTGGTTCTAATTCAGTTTCATAAGATGTTAATTGTGAATGGCAGAAGATTCTCATAAGTTAGGTCATGCTTCATGGGTGAAGGAAACAGAGACTGGCTAAATATCGATTCATATAGAGAACTTCATTATAGACAAATAGATGAAATCATGAAAAAGACTAAATTTAAAATATAAAAAATTCATAGACCTGATTTTATAAGTAATCAAAACAAAGTGATAATGAAAATCTATCAAATGGTAATTTTTCTCAAAGTGTTTTAGTTAAAAATTAGAAAACGCAGAACAATGAAATTAATATGAGAAGAATTGTAATCACTAACTTGTATAATTTCTTTCAATCTATAAGTTGCCTCTTCTGCCAAGCATGACAAAGTGTCTTCAGTTAATCGAGCGACACCAGCTGATTCGCTAACGGTTTTGACAGATTCTGATGAAAACGCAGAAAATCTATCAGGTCGAACTTTGCTTTCTTTTTTCACACTTCGTTTACTTGTATCAGCCATTTAAGATAATGTTAATACTCTAATATGCTGTTAAAGATAACAGTGAATAATATACAGTTCAGCAGTTAGTCTATGCGCTGATACTGTGATGCCAGTACCGATATGTCTGTACGAATATTGATAAAACATTTTTCTTTGTGAACTTGGGCCATTCTGCTATGACAATGATGTTGAAATGTTACCGGTACCGGTAGGCTACCATATCTGGTACGCCAGTTGAGTAGCCCTGCGCGGTACGGTACCGGTATTGATAACCTGTTAACCGTTTTAACGCCATTGAGCAGCTTACTTTAATTCACAGGTAAAGGATACCGGTACCAGTACCGAACCTGAAAGCAGGAAAGTCAGAAAGTTGTGTTGGACTCGCGTCATGGCGGTAGCGTTTGTTCCTGCTTTCAGACTTTCAACTTGTGTATTGACTACTAATTTTTGGTTAACCTACCGAAAAGGCATGCTAGTTTCTCCATCGCCGTTTTATTTTAATTAAACTAAAACACCCGGTTCTAAAAACGCTTCAAATTCACTCAAAAAATAAAGTGCTTACTTGACCTCTAACCTCCGAACCTGCTAATTACGACTGCGCCCTCTATAGGCCATGGGCTGAAATCTGTAAAGCGCTTAAAAATCGAGTTCGTGGTGACCCTCGAGGGGGAACCTAAATTTTGGTGGGTCAAAAAGCTAAAAGCCTAATTTACTAAATATAAAAAGTTGACATCTCCAAAGTGGAGCATTACGTCACAATTAACGATGACGTCACATGCTCTCACAACCCATATATACCATATAATATTCTACTTAAACCTGAGATTTGTACGTCCAATACCGAAACCTTTGACGGATTCGTAAAATAAAATTTTTGAGGGGTGAGTTTTTGTACAGGTGACGTCACAATTTGCTCTTTGGTCAAATGTGACGTCATAACTGCTTTCAACATTTTTTTTTCTGTTATTAAGCAGAGTCTAAGTAATCTGCAATGACCATCCCTGCTGTTTCCTATCGATACACACAGAAACGGATATTTCAAAACTAGTTTTTTATGGCATATTCCTCCGTAAAAGTAACAAAACTAATTATGGCAAAACTAAACATTAAAAAACACTATGCTATGAAAAGAACGCGTTTGGCCAGAAATAATAAAAAAACGAAAGGCAAAATATTTCTCATGTCCTAATAATTATCTAATCAGCGCCACCTGCTATAAAATCTACTATGACAATTGTAAGAATTGCAAAAAAAAAGCAATTAAAATATAAAAAAAAAATGAACAAGCAAGCGGCTAATATGGTGCATAATCACTATTGAATATGTTTAAATTGAAATAATTCGTGCTCGTCATCTCGTATAATGAATGTATGTCACTATTTTAGTTGTTTGGGATGAACTTCATGAAAGTTAATACCATATTTCGATATTAATATCATCGTTTTCCTCACGTATGACATCCGCGTTGCCGCAATCGTTGCAGCTGCACAAACTGGAGCATGAAACCCCTGACTTCACACATTTTCCAATTTCTGCTCTTGCAATTTATTTTCGCGCATCTGCATTTAGAATGGTTTAGCACTAAGTTTGGGGCAATTTGTTTTGAAATCCATTTGATATTTATATTTCTATCATTTACTATCCATCCGTGGTCATCAGGATTTGGAGCAGATATAAAATTTCGTAGTGCTCTTCTGTGTATGGCACATTGGTAGTTTGCACGTGCTGAATGGAGTACGATAGCATCATCAGATGGGGGCATACAGGGTTCGTCTTAACGATTTATTAGGATCTGTCTGGATAAGTGTCACACACAAAGTCAACCCTGTTACATTTGTAAGACTTTGCAATATTAATTATTCTGTCGAAAATCATATTTAAGAGTCTTCTAAAAGTTTCCGGAATATTATTCAAAGATTGCAATAAAGCCATACCATCTATTACAAGAGCTGCATTCAATGGATATGATTTGACTAATACTTCTGGCACACTATTTTCCAATTTGTGCAAGAGCCTGGCTTTATTAGTTCTCACCGACGTTCCGTTTGGTGATCCAATAGATGCGGGGATAGCAGCTAATGGATATTCTAGCATTTCTTGCAGTTCTATATTTTTCGTTTTTCCATTAAGTAGAAGCCTATAGAAATTATCTTCTGATTTTTCAGAGAAGTGTGGTACTTTTTCGTTAATTTTGGCGCTACCCGAAGCAAATGTTTTTAATTTTAGCTGTTTTATAGGAGTAGATATACTTACAGTTGAATTAGCAAGAATTCGGTTTTGGCAAAATAAATCTGCGTTGTTTTTTCCCAGTCTAAATGCGTCTTCCATATCCATTTTAATAGCATCTGATGCAACGGACCCCGAAGAAAGGTTCATCAGAGAGTCGCATTCTAAATCAAACGGGTCGGTCATGAAGGTCACCGTATCGACTATTGATTGCACGTTTTGTTCATCTCTGATTGAGTTAGCAGAATCAAGGTCTTTGCGTTGTCGTCTAGTAGCATCTTTTCCAGCCATTTCCCTGCATGCCATAGAAATAAGAGCGCGTTTATGGTGTGATAGAAGCCATCTAGTTACAGCATTTTTGTTTAAAGATAACCCACGAATTCTGCCTCGGGTTTTAGAATCTCTGTTCAAAGTTTGCTCAATTAATTGATCGCAGGCAATTTGGCTGAAACCATATTGAGCATGACGCTGTACAGAAAAATTTTCCTGCTTTAAATACTGATATATTTCAGGATGACTTGATGACAAATTTTCCATTTCAGACAAATAGACTGAGACATATCTCGCATAATTGATATGATCATATGCAAAAAACCAGGGTAGCATTTTATGAAGTGTAGCAAGATGGAGATCCCATAAGCCGTCTCTAGTAGCACGAATAAATTGCACCAGAAGTTCAATCATATCGATATAAGAACTCCATAAACTAAATGTTTTATTCATCTTGCTCTGATGCTCTATAAAAAACTGATAATCCACCATTAGACTCCTCACTTTTTCGCTTTCACATATTTGTTTGAAAAATTGAGGGTCTGTATAAGCATTATTCAGCTTTGATGCCAAATCGAAAACCTTGGCTTTGCTTTGCAATGATTGGTTATTGATGAATACGTTCCACCGCATCCTATGCAACGCCTCAAACACGAGTTTATGGGCTCGAATACTCCTATTGTAATGGCGACCATGCATTATACTATTAATGGAACCTGGAGCAACGACACGGGATTCTATTAATATATCCGATAGACCAGAGCTTTTGTATCGTTTTCCAATTACAGAGAGGAGGATGTTCAAATATTTGGAAGTTATCGAAGAACAGGCAGTGGAATACATAATTTTTTTTGAAATCTTAGCAGGTTCGGAAGTCTTTGAACCCCGGTACGGAGTTATGAATTCCGATCGAGTTGGAAAAGAACGTCGCTTAGATTTTGCAAGTTTTTCTCGTGATTGAGAGGCAACAACAGTTTCTCTGACCTGTATTAAAATTCCATTTGTATTATGTGCCGTTCCTTCTCCAGATTTTGTCTCTTCATTGAAATCATTATTATTCCAAACAATTGTTGACGGAATGCGCGGTAGAAACCCATCGGGAACAATCGTGTGTTTTTGCAGTTGCAATTCGGTCAATGCAGTATCATGCTCCAGCACAACAGAATGGGATGCCGAGTGGCCAAGGCCGTGGAGCAATTCTATAAGTCGAGAAGAACCGGTCCAATGCCTAACTGTCATTCCTAACGCTAAGTGTTTCGGTGTTTGTTTTCTACCCCATCTTGGGCAAGCGAAACTAACATTATGTTGTAGAATTCCGAGACATTTAGGATTCCTTCGTTGCTAATATCTTCACTTGCTCCTACTATCCATGCTAAAAAATTATAAAGTTCTACTGGGACGCTTTTCTGTAAATTACGAAGTTCGAAATCCGATGATGTTGGTGACCAGGTCTTTTCACATCCTTCGTAGATTTTGATTACATTCTTCGCTTTTTCTGCGCATTGATGGTCGTAAAAAAAGTAATGCTGGTGAACATGTTTTCAGCTTTTGTTTAAAATATGACGTTTGTAGGTCACTATCTATGTACAGGCCATCCTTGGCGACAAATTCTACGAACAACTGCTTCAATTTAATGAGTGTAATTGGATTTCCATTTTTTATTATTATAGAATTAACAACAGATGTGCAAAAATTTTCAAAATGTTTGGTGTATACATTTTCGTTGTTGATATTTGACGAAGATATTGGTTTAATTGTTAGTATTTTTATGTATTCTTTATAGCACGACGGATGATATCGCACTTCGATCGCTACCAAGTCTCTATTTCTGATTTGCACCAATACAGACTCATCGTTTCTTGCCAGGGCAGCTTCGTAGAAAAGGCCACCTGAAATAAAATATTGCCTACATCAGTATGGAACTAAAATGAGAAATCTCTCTCGAACTTTTAAATTAAAATCATGTAATACATGTGCGTTGCTATACTAAACAAATGCTTTAACATCAATAACTAAACTGATATGTTATTTGAATTCTATTATGTGTGCCTAAAAATCAGCTATACAACAAACTCATACATGTTACTCATCCTGACACTCAATTATAAACTGCCTGGATTATATAAATTACCTTATAGCGTTATTTATGAATTTGCAACAAGAATATTGAATTGGTGTTCAACCCAAGGCCTGGTTAAAATAAATGATATATCCATGCCAGACCCCCTCATCTATACTGAATTATCTGAAAAAATCTTACCAGACGAATATTCGCAACATGACAGTTTTTCCCTTGAATGTGCTTTATGTCTTTTAATAAATTTTTCTTTTCTGCATATAATGCATTTTTTAGGAAGAACATTCTTATTCCGTCTTGCAAATTTGTTACCAATATCTGAAAAAAATTTCGCTTGAAGTTCTTTTTGGCTTGATTCCTAATTCAGATCTATTTTCGGTGTCTATGGGCTTCTTTTTAGAACGAGCTCTGTTAATTCTTGTTATGTTCGTGAACTTTGAATAACATTTTTTGTGGCATTGCTTAGTT